TCAAAGTTGGAAACCACTAGCCTAGAGGTATAGAGAAATGGAAGCCAAATCTGCCCAATTGCCAGGCTTCCTTCTCCTCCAAAACACCTGGAAATTCCTTTAAATTTTTCTCTAATGCTTATAGTATAATAATGATAACAGTAATAATTATTAGTAATTCTTAAATGTTCCCAGTTATAAAAAAACTTTTATATACTGTTTTCCATTTGAACTTCAAAACATTTGTGAGGTAGTCTAATTATTATTAATTTCCATTTTGCATATGAAGAAACTGAGGCTCAGTGAGGTTAAGTCATATACCCAGCAGAAGTGCCAAAGGAACCTGTACTCAAATCCCCATTTTACAATTCTAAATACAGGGTTCTTTTAACTGATCTATGAGCCCTATATTAAGAAAGGTCATCTAATGACAAAAGTTCTTGGATTCCCTCCTTTACTTCTTAGGAACATGCATGCTTTTACATCTGTCTATAGCCAAAGCAAAAGTATCCTTGCTACACTATCTTTCCAACTGACTTTTCTCTCTCGCCCCTTAGTGACACAAAGGTTCATTCTTTTCCAGAATCCAGTTCTTGTGTAGAGACCATGCAAAGAGGCAGAAGTGACATATTTACTTACCTAATGGAGTAAACTCATTAAAATACGATTTCTCCCTTTATTTCATATGCAAAAATTTTATTGCATGTATAAGTTTCTGTTTTGGTTATCTTACCTCTTTGAGGGTAGAATTCTTACAAGAATAAAGAAAAGAGGAATGAGTTCTTGTTCTGGTTGCTATATGATTACGGATAAGTTATCTACCATTTATGGACTTCAGTTTTCTCATCAAGATGGGTTGGACTAGGTGATCTCTTCCTTCTAGCTTTAACATTTTATGATTCTGTGATATCTCTTTTAGATGTAATACATATATTCTATATGTGAATGACAGCTGATATGTATTTGTTGAAGAAATGATAAATGAAATTTAATATTTTGAGAATGGCTACTGGGATCAAACACAACCAAGCACATTATCCAAAGCACTTGGCTCTAATCTACCACTTTTGCTACTAGGATTTGGAAGAATAACTAAAATATATGTGCCAACACTCTCTACATATTTCTTTTAAAAAGTATTAAAAATAAACTGTAGTGAACACTTTTACTTAGTTTGGAGAGCTGAAAATTACTGACCTTCTTTTTGCTCTATAATAGCCCAATCTATTTATTATCTAAATTAGGGTAAGTAAATTACTCCATGAGTAAATTTCCTTGAAAACAAAAGATTATTTCATTTAAGTGCAAAAATTATTTTCATATGAAAATATTTTCAACAAAAGATATTTTAAAAACCATTACACAGCTCTCTTGCCTACTTAACCAGGGTATTTTATCTCTTCTTGATTACCCATAATGTTATCAATATTCAAAACAGTTATTACATTGTGTTAGATTAGATTCTAGTCTTGAGAGTGATACCTGATAGACATACTGGAGTACCTAGGTCTATTTGTCCCTCCACAGAAGGTCCAGAGACTGCTGTATTGAAAAAGTAAACAGAGGACTCTGTTTAGTTATATATCCTCTTGCCAGCTGTCACGTCCCATGATTGCCTAGGAATCAAGTGGGCTCTAATCTGCTCCCTTATTTTAGGTAAATGGCTTAAGCATGGCTTCATATTTTCAATTAAGTGAAACTATGGGCTCTGTGACATCTGCTTTCCAATCAGAAGCTGTTTCTATTTATTTTCAGACACATGGTTATGTTGCATACAATGATGTTGCTGGGAATCTGATTTGTAGATAAGTGGAAATTTCTTCTACCACCCTATCAAATCTTCAAGTGAAATACCTTATATAAAGGAGCTCAAGAAATTCTAAAGCTATATAAAACCATAATCATTAATACCCCTAAATTGGGGTATTGAATAATTCCAAATCATCAAAAAATTTATAAATTAGGCTCTAAAACTTAATTTTAATTAACAAAATAATCACTGCATATACATCTATTTTTTTCACTATAAGAACATGTGAAACATACAAATTTACATTATGGAAGATCTATACACATAGATGCATATAATAAACCTTAAAGTATTTAAACAATTTGAATATTCTGAAATATTGAATACTAGTTCTTGCTATAAACTATTTTAAACCTTTCACATGTCACTTGTATTTTAAAAAAAGAATGGCAGTCTATCATATAAATTTTAATATATTCAGTAGAATCATTTGAGTTTTGGAATCATCATTTTTAAAAGTTTGTAAGTCATAGACAAATGAAAAAAAAGTTATTTTCTCATAATTTCGACAAATACTCTTAACTTAGTCCTTACATCCAGATCTATGGAGAGAAACTTCTCTCTTATCCAATATTTCTGCACAATGGGCTAATTGGCTTCAGTTAAAGGCTATCAATGTTGTCAGATTCCTACAGAGAGACAACAGAAGACTCTTGCTGCCCCACTCATCCCAATGTGAGGCCCATGCACAGTTGGTAACACTAACACTGCAATCAGTTAGCAAGACACCATTTCAAGAGCAACTGTCCATAATCCAAAAACGTGTATCATTAAAAACACCTAACAAATTAAAAGAAGGTTCAGTACTTCTTTGGTTCTCTAACATTCTCGCTTCATAAGAAATAAGAATCAAACTCAATTAAGAAGCTAAAGTCAGCAGAATTTATTAATATGACTATAATTTTATATACTTCTTAAATACATTCATATTTTTTCTATTTCTAAAAGCAATTACAACTATACTGAGATGGCTTACTAACTTTTATAGCTCTGGCATCTGTTTCAGGAGGAGACCATGGAAAGTCCTAGGTCTTGCTTATCTAACTCAGGCTTTTTATAAAGAATGTCTCTTTAAGGCTTCCATTTTTATGAAAGCTTGCTAGAATTTCTTAAATCACAGAAGAAGTGGGCTTCAGCTGTCAGGTACAATTTATCAAGTTTTTATTCATAATTAAGCTTTAGTATATATTATTTCTGAAGCAAATTTTTTTTTTTTAAATTTCACTATCATCTCCACTGGGTAGTGCTGCTATGCATGAGTGCAGGAATCACAGCAGAAAGCAAAAGCTATAAGTGTTGCCGCTAACAGACAGAAAAAACAGTTATAACCCAAAATAATAATTTATTACAACTCACATAAACTATCTCCAACCATATAAGGTACTATTCTACAATTTACTTCACAATTTTTTTCAGAGCCCTTAATATGTTTCACTGGCTACATATCAAAAAATTAGGACCAGCAATTAAAAAAAGAGATTGAGACTCTGTGAATAAAAAACCTAAAATCCTTGAGATACCTTATATAGTAGCCAATTGTGAACTAAGTCTTTAGTCTGGAACACTTACACTGGAAAAATGACTGTGTTAAAGCCACTTAATAAGTATCCTTACCTCCAGTCTCTTTCCATTAAATATGTCTTGCCCAAAATCAAAAAGTCATCTCTCTAGAAAAAATCAAAGTTTCATTGTTTTCTTCAAAGCCTTACATAGCTTCATAGCTATGTTCTGCACAAACAACAAACTTATTAGCTTCATATGCAACCAAATCCCTTAATACATGATCCAAAGTACTTTTAAATCTCATCTCCCACTAAACTACTCAATGATCTCTTCAACTCTCCTTCTGTAATACCAACCTCAACAAATCAGGGACCACTTCCCAAAGATATCATAGACTTTATGCCTAAGTGCATTTTCCCTCTGCCTGAACATTCCTCTCTTTTTATGACTCCTCTAAGTCACTACGCAAATAGAACTTTCTCTACGCAGCTTCCCAATCCTCCCTGTCAGAATTTACTGAAAATTCCTCTGTATTCTGATAGTTTCTTGATCAAGGCTCTATTTTAGCACTACTCAGATTGCATTCCTTTTAATTTTCTATTCCCCATGTGCTTCCTCTTCTAATTTCAAAAGGTAAGAACTACTCTGTCTTATCTCTGCCTGTAAGACCAAGCACACAACACAGTAGAGACTCAATCAGTATTTGCTGACTAAATAGATAAAAGACTACTGTGTGATATATTCTTTCTCTAGCATTGAATTAGAACTAATGTTTCTGACTAAACTAGTATGGACGTGGAGATCTGGCCAAGGCAACTAATCATTCCAGATCAATAAATTAAGACCTATGCAGAAGTCTCCTTTCTCTTACCTAATGAAAAGAAAAATCACAACTACTGTCATGGAGGAACTATGCTGGTAAAGAGAGAGGGATTTTTCATTTTATTTACTCTGAATTGTGACATAAGTCACATGAGACTAGAAAGGTCTTGGCTATGCAACAGTATCATGGGCTTGTATAAATCATTTAATCTCTCTGGGATTCATCTGAAAAACAAGGCTATTAATCCTTTGATTGTCATAAGGATTAGACTGAGGTATTTTTCAGACTAGACTGAGATATACCTCAGACTAGACTGAGGTATTTTTCAATTCTAAGATCTGTGATTCTATTCATCTAGCCAGCCAGCCATTCTTCCATCCATCCGTCCATCGCTCTATCCATTCATGAATGCTTGAGAACTCTTACAGCTCTAACAATGGCAATTCTATATCTATGAAAATTGGATTCAAAGAACATGTAAGAAGTTCCAAACATTCTACAAGAATTCATATTGTGTCAAAAAAGAATGACTTGAGAGACGTGCAGAATAGCAAGTCAGAAGCTCATGAATACTGAAATAAGTTTCTCCAGTTGGTATTTGCTTGGATATGCTCCTTATGTTTTGTGTTTCATTTCCCTGTCTGAACAGTTTGGTATGTTGTACTTAACCTAAAAGGGGCCAAACAGGCTGACTGATAAGTAATTTTTAAAAATTTAGAAAACAGATAGGATCATTGAAATTTTAAATCGTATTTAAGAACTATCCGTAGTGAAAGCATGCCAACAGTAACAACATTCTTTTGCACTTAGGTATTTGTTCAGAAAAAACCTAAACAGCTAAGAAATACACAGCTTTGACATATCATTGATAATTCCAGAGTCTACCTTTGTTTCTGTTGCATGGGTTGTTGTCTCATAGCCATATACTGCATGTCCTCTTGCAGACGATTAAGAGGGGAATCTGGCTTGACACGAATCCCATAGTAATGGTACTTGGAGTTTCCTCTTCATAAAAGAGCAATGAACATTGGAGACACAAAAGTCAGTCAAATTAATATTCATATGAGATGTCCATTTAATTTCACATTTGGAAAAAGTAGGTAAAAGCAGCATATTAATACTACCTATTTATGATTTACTTATTCTGTATACTTGTGTTTTTATGGTGACAACATTTGAAGCATAAAAATAAGATTCTGAATCAATCAGCTCAAGGCCCTAAGAAAATACTTCCTTATAAGCTTTCACTTAAATATTAGTCAAACAATCCATTTATTCCACTCAAGTTACATTTTATCTTCAAATTTATATTTTAAATTTAATTTAGAAAGGGTAATGGGGGGAAAAGATTTTGGCCAATAAAAACCCATTAACAGGATAAAGGGTTGCACAGTAAATACACATTTATTGTTAAATGGCTATACAGAAAAAGAAAAAAGTCTTAATTCTACTATTGTCTTGGATTGGTTCAACATTTTTCTCTTTACTTCAAGAACGATGAAGTAAGTTAACATCACTGTTACAAGATGCTGTGGTGAAGTCTGTTATTTAATATTTTAAAAACTAAAAAGGAAGTAGGAATTTAATTTATTGATTTTGAAACATTTTATTAGTCTCTGTTTTATGGATTCATATCAACTTAGTAGGAAGAATATGATATGTCACAACAGATATGAGGAAACTTCTCTGTGAAAATGGCAAATTTCCACCTGGAATAAAAATGTCCTAATTTCTCCATGTTCATGAGAAAGACCATGTTTGCTATTAGAAATGACAAACTATTGCTCTGAATGGAATTTGCAAATTTTTGCAAAAATAAACATTTTAAATATGTAAATTCTTGCAAAGAGAAAATAGTTTTTCACAAGTCTATATATAGCAAGGCATCAGTACTCTTTCCAATTTTTTCTTTCATTTACAAAAAGAAATGCAAGAAGAGTGTGGATTAAATATTTTTAATAAAAATAGAGCAGAGTTTTACTTCCAAGATTATAAATGAACCCTATATATTTCAAAAGATGTTACTTAAATAATACTGCTAGTTTAACAAAATGTAGGACATCTAAATACCTACATGCTTTCAGCAAAATAAAGCAAATATGAAAACTTAATGCCTATAAAGAAAAGCATTCCACTTGCAGAAATTAGATCCTGTCACCAAAATACACTGCAGAATACAGCAAAAAACAAAAAAAAATATTCATGCTAAAAACCTAAAAACCTAATTTGTAGCATTCTCCTGTATAAACTGGAGGATGGTAAGAGTAGAGGTAGGGTAGGAAGTAGGAGGCATTAATTATGAGACAAAACTACAGTGTAAAACGATGTCTCTCTTGTGAGATCCCAAATGGATGGGGTATCTAGTTTCTTTTCAGTTTCCTACAATTTAGCCCTTTGGTTGGGTTAGGAGGGAGTGTTTTGGTTTTTGTTTTCATTTCATTGGGAATGGCTGGGGAAAGAAGCATATTCATGGTCATCAAAGTTGATTTGGAGACCGGGATCTAACAAAAGGTACCTTTTGCTCTGCATTTGTTTAAGACACAGTGATTTTATTTACTTTTTATTTACTCAGGTCCAAAAACTTTAGAAAAGATCTGGTTCTGGTTTGAATAGTTTCAACAGATACTATTATTGATGGATAACAACAGTTCTGCATATAGTTCACTTAAAAAAAGTATTTGATTTAGTTTGCCTCATAATATATACTCATTTCCTTCTGTTCCTTGGATTAGGAGTATAAAGTAAATGCTAAAACAGTTTTCACTGTAGAAAGAATCTCTGGGATTCACCCCCACCATTGTCAGTTTTTCTACATCAGAGTTCTTCTATTTTCTTAACACTTCATTTGTTTAAAGTCTCTCCTATAGTATTTATTTTCTCTTTATTTTTCTAGGCTTTGCTTTACATCCCTAATTGCAAACATTACATACAATTATAAACGGAATAGGAGACATAATTATTACATAGTAAGGGAGTGGGAACCCAGACCATCAGACAGTAAAAGCTGTAATATTGCAATATGTACTTATGAGTATGGATTCTACTCATTCACAAACCCAAACAACCCCAATTTTGTCCCTTTCTATTTTAAAGATGTGTTTCAAGGTTTGAATGGAGCCTCAAAATAGGACCCATTGAAATCCCTTTCAGTAACAAAAGAAGCACAACAATACAGCTATTAGAATGTTGAATAAAGCCCAGAGTTTCAAAATATTGGCATGGTATGCCTAACTATAGAGCTATCAGCTAAGAAATAGGAGTTAGGTCCCCAAATAATGATTTTTTGTGGTTTTGGAAAAAAATACTAGAGAAACAAAAAGCTTTTTTAAAGGGAATGAGAGCTATTCCTTTAGTCTGAATAGAAAATCATATTCTCCAGTTTAAAATATACTACCTTTTCACATATAGACAGAAGAATACATTTATAAGAAAGCTGAACCTCTAGCAATCTGAAAGCTGTACAATCATTTAAAATGCAACGGGAAGGGAATAACTCACACTTTGAATACATACAGACCTTGTAAATCTCACAAAACTGATACAGTGAAGGGGTTTATGACATGCTACCCCCAAATATAGCATTTGAGGAAACAGCAGCAGTAGGCCATACAAATTAGAAAAAATTTCCCTGACCACTTTCTCCTCTGGAGCAGGCCCTAAAACCTAGTTTGCCTTCCGTGAAAAATAGGTCATGAAATCCTTCCAGAGAGTTCCTTCCTATACCTGGTCGAAAGCAATGCCCTTATTTCTAAAGACACAGGGACACAGAAGAATCTAAACAAACAGGCCTTGCTGAGTTCTCCCCAGTTTATTACCATTAGATTATATCTGTTTTGCCCAATTATATTTCTCCAGAACTATCTACTTGTTCATCAGAAAGCATAAAATATACAGTTTTCTCTATTTCTTTAGGTCTTCATTTCTGAAGGCTCCCTGTCATGTAAAATTTGTACTAACTAAATTGGTATGCTTTTCTCTTGTTAATCTTTTATTACAGGGGTTTTAGCCATGAACCATATGATGGATGAAGAAAAAGATCAATCTATTTCTCCCCTGTAACATTCACTCCTCCTTTTAGTATAAATTTATAATGAAGCCAATTACTATGGTTCTGTTTATTTTATTAAGATTAAAAACTCTTTTACTAAATACTGTGAAGTTGTGATTTATAATTAATTAAAGGTATATCATCTACTGTTATACAGTATGCAACCTCTATTTTAATGCTATTTATATAATTTCTGTAAGATTTAAGAAATCAACAGTATTCATATATCCTTCTGCCGAGCTACTTAAAATATTTATGTTATGATAATTTGTAGAAATTATAGAAAGACAAAAATGAAGCTCCACAGTTCTAAGTATTCTTTTCATCATATTTTGATTAAAGACACTCATATTATTTCCAAAGGAAGGAAAACAGTGAAACTGAAAGCTTCTTCACATTACTGGTTTCCATTCAATACAACTATACTGTATTTTTGCTTCCACACATGGGTTCACATAAAGAACAGGAAAAAAAAGGGTAATAATAGGTAAAATAGGACTGTGTCATCACAGAGGAATTCAAACACCTATATTTTGTATGTTTACCAAATGATTTTTAAGTGGTCCCCAGAAATAAAATGAAAAACTCAGCTTAATTTCTTACTCTGGTCTAGTAGTTATTTATACTGACAATTAAATGTAATGTTACAAGAGTCAAGAAATACATAATTTTTAATTTACTATGTCCCTTTATGTATCACCTTTAGTATGGTTATTTTCAAAAAGAGAATACAATGATATATTAATTTTTAAAGCATCATATGCAAGTCTTATATTAATAGGTTGGCCAGCTAATTTCTATATAGTTGAGAATCAGCTCCTCTCTTAGTGTTTAGGACAACACATCATTCTGGCATGGTAGTATTCATTGAATAATGACTTTTCCTTTTCCTGGGGATTTTATAAACTGAGCTCATTCTATATATTTTTTTCTTATATACTACCTGTAATCAAGTTCTTTTGCTTAAACAATATACCAAGCTGCTCAAGTATGAAAAAGAAACATTAGTTAATGATCTTATTTTTCAGTACTAACCTAGTGCCCAATCTCCTGGTTCGTAGCCCCATAAAAATTGACCTTATTAGTTTTCCAAAAGAGGCAGCATTGACTGGGTCCAGTTTGTGTTCCTGACAATGTCGAAGGTAGTGGTTGTATAGAGTGCTTCTGGGAAGGCTCACTCCTTCTGCTGTCTCGTAATTGTCCAACAGCCACTGGAGCTAATAAAAGTAAGACACAGTAAATACACAGAAATCATATAATTCGCCAAAATTTCTACTAGACACTGCAAACAAACATACAGAAATACTTAGAAGTTCTTCATCAAGTCTTACAATAGAGTAAACTGCTGTCATTCAGAAGCTGGTATAATCTGGCTTTAGGAATTCTCAGTAATACTGTAAATAGCTTAATATCACTTATGACCTCAGACAATATCCATTTCTTCAAATATTTAAGTATATCCTAGATATACTAATTTTCCCTGAATTGACTGCAACCCTGGAGATAAACACCTCTTCAGAGAATTCAAATCTATTAACTGGTCATAAATATCAAAAATATAATTGCTATAGAACAAAACATGTTGCCAAACCTTGCTAAGACGTCTTTAGTATCGGTGTGTTATAATACATAAACAGCAGGCTACCTTGTATGAGTTTTTATATTAAGGTTCTATTTATTTTTATAAAATTTTAATTTACTTATCTCAAATTACCACTAGATAATACAATAACAATATTGTCTAGTAGGACAAATTCTGCAAGAAGAATGGATGAAATTCAGTCATTTCTTTCTTAACTGGAAAGAAACTCACTAGACACTGGCAAAGAATTGATATGTAATGAAAAAGAATCATTTATTACAACCCTTTTTTTGCCTCAAAGCTTTTTTCCTACAATTTTGAAAGGCATAGTACAGTGGTAGTTGGTAAAGCTGTATCTTCTCAGCCCATTGTTCACATTTTAAAGTTTTATGTTGTCCTGTTATATTTTTTTTAAAAAAATAAATTTTAAAGCACATAATGTGCAAGAAATTTTAGAATATCTAATCTAGGTCTATATTATTGAATTTTAACATGGCAAAATCAAATTATTTATGTATTTATTTATTTACAAAAGAAGAACTGAAATAGACTTAAATGACTATATTAAGATCACATATTGTCTCTGAGTTTGGTTTCCAACTTACATTTCCAGTTCCTGATTATTCTAAACAAACTGTCACTTTCGCAAAACAAATATTTCACATTATCTATCTCAACAAAATTTCCATACAATATATAAGAGGTATAATAAAGAGCTAATATTAAACATGCAATTCAAGTTAAATATAAATTATGGAAGCCAAAAAACTCATTTGTTGAGCACCAACTATGAGTCAGGCAAAGTTCTAAGCATCTAGTGATGCAAAGATGAATGTGATCTTACCCTTGTCCTCTAGGAATTTATAAGAAAATGCTAACACTGATGATATCGACATTTAAACAAATGAAATATTTCTTCATTTTGCTTACATATTTTAAGATGTATGATCAAACTTAGAACCTGAACTTTCAGACTTTTAATACAAAAATCCATTAAAAGTATTTTCAGAATTATTATTTTTAACCATGACAATTAAATTTTCCAAAACCATTTTAATTTTAAATATTACTACATGATGTTTATGTAATTAAATTTATGTCATTAAACACATAGTGATTGTTGGCTTAGAAAATATAGCTACCAAATCTACAAGACAGCAGAGAACTTTTAAAAATAAAATTAATGTTCTGGTCAGAAAGATGTGAAGGCCTTTATAGAAAACATATGCATATGAATATGTATATCTAAACATACATATTACCTCTGTAACATATACAACCTTCCACTATAAAACTTTAAAGAGATTATACAAAATAAATATTCATTTTTATAATGACAGAAAAATATTACAGACTAAAAAGAATTCTTTTGATATGAATCAACTGTAACCTTTAGGCAGTCAAATATGATTTCTAAGTATTATAAATGACACATAGAATAGGTTCACTATACATATTCATTTAGAATAAAAGAGAAGAGGTAAACTGGGAAATTAAGGTATTGAGGCTAAAACTAGTATTTTGCCTATAACAGTGAGACAACATGTCTGTTTAGTGTTTTTTTTTTAATGTTAAGACTTTATTGATTATGAGCACATCTGAGGGAACTACACATAAAATATGGCAATATAATCCTGACTCATATATTTCATACACATGTTGTGGTAAAATAATTGGGATTCAGAAGCACATGAGTGGTGGTACAGCAGCCCTAGTGAACCATATTGGACAAAGGTGCTGGCTCTTGTTTTGTGTATACATACTAGACAGAGAAGGGGTTAACTTTTAATTATATTCTCAATATATTAAAGAAAGCAATATAGGCCCTTAATATCAAGAATTGTGAAAAAAAATACTAAGGAAAAAATCCCCGGAAAGGCAAACATATAAAAAAAAGTAAATATTTTTTTGAAAAATAGTAATATTTTCCAACTAAACTAATGAAGTTTCCACATCCACAAACATAGAATACATAATATATGAGTTAAAAATGCCAAAGATATGTTTGTATGTATATCTAGCTATCTCATAAAATAATGCATTTTATAAAAGGCATACTAGTGATTTCTTAAATATGAGCAAAAAAATCAATTTTCCTTTTTTTGCTAATGTGTAGAAGATATATCTATATAGGAAATCTTAATTTAAAGAGCATTTTTTCAGAATTAGAATATAGTCAATTTCATAACAACTTTATTACCAAAAGTATACGAATAATAAAAAATAGATCTAATATAAAACTTTTAATATGATATAAAGCAAATGAAAATAATTTAATTAACCAGAAATATAAATAAAAAATTTGTTAAAACTGCCCTGTGCACTAGTTTTCTTGCAACATTTAATTACTTAGAAGTAGAGATAAATATCTAGAATGAGACTTACTCATTTCTCATGATCATGGAAATTATTGTGCAGATAAAAATTTTATGAAAGAATTTGGAAAAGTAAATCCAATAATGGAATATTTGAGAGGTACTATCAATAAATTACCTTTCATAAAAATGAAAACTAGTATAAATATGAAAGTTTCATATCAAATATTTTGAGTCCAACAGTATATTTACATTTATATATATTAAAGAATTAATCAGATGGCTCATAATCAAAGAAAACTTTTCACAGAAATAATGAGAGAATTATAGCAAAAGTTAGCATGACTACTTAGAAGCCTAAATCATAGTACTGATACCACAGCTGAACAAAATGAAGCTTCTGTTGGAGGCTGTACAGTCCCCCGAAATGATTAAGCAAGTCAAAACATCTGTACTGCTTTGTAAACTGTTCTTTTTACATAGTATATATTCTTAAAAACTCTTCATTTCTAAACCAGTTTTTTAAAATCTAAGTTTTTATATATGTACAAATATACATATCTTTCTATAAATAATCACTATAGTTAGAAAAATTCCACAAGAACTGGTGTTTTGGTTGACTATCTGACAGTAGCTAAGCTGTATTTTGTTCCCTGCCCCTGCTTGCAAGAGGAGGAACTTTATTCCTTGCCAGAAACCTGAAGAGCACATTGAAGAAACAGAAAGAAGTCAAGTGGAAGTAAAAGCCCTGAAAGGATGGAGGTGGCTCTGCTTCAGCCCTATGGGTCCCAGCAGAGAAGCCTGCCAATCTCTGCCCCATCTAGGGCTATGTCTCCTAGAAACGCACTGTACACGTGGAAACAGATTTACGGACATACCATATGAGAATTTGAGATTTAGCAGAGGATTATAATCTGTATTCTATACATTAGCATTTAACTTTTAGGTTTTAACATAGCGATGAAATGATAAATCAGACATCTGAGTTTAAAACATAGTATTAGAAAGCATTACTTTTATTGGAAGAGAAACCTGGCAGTTTCTGTGTAAGTGTAAGTGTAACCTGAAGGCAAACGCTCTGTGTGCTGCTCAAGAGAAGTTGATGCCTGTTATGATATATACTGTTTCCTTGGATCTTGTCTTTCATAAAATGTATTTGGAGATTAGAATTCAATACTACTAACATTTGGTAATTTAGAACTAAAATATTACCATTTCTTTTACTGTTTTATAAAATGTCTGGTAAAATGTTTGCTTACATTTATGTTTTAAAAGCCTATAACATAACCATAGGAACTTTTAACCTTTATCTTTAAAACCTGATCATTCTACTAATGAACTAACAAATTCATCTAAGGGTGCAAACCAAGGTAATTGTATCTTTCAACCTTAACATTTAATCTATATTAATCAGGATAGATTAAAGAAGATCAACAGTTCCTATTTTTCCCAAAGGCAAATCCTGATTGGCAAATAAAAATAAATAAATACTGCATTGCCCAATTAACATCTAAATGTAACATTTGGCATTTTTCCCCAGATGGATTATTATCCATTTAAATTCAGTTCACTGATGATATGCATTTTGACAGACCTTATTTCTGTAATAACTTATATTTACAATATAGTAAAGTCATGGGAAAGTGAGTAAAAAAACAAGGTTTTGCTTTAAGCTGAATATATTTCAGTTGCTAAAACCAGCAAAAATAATGAAAAACTATTTGCTATATTGTGAAAAGTATATAAAATAAATGCCTAAAGCTTTCTACATACTTTAAATGGGATTTTTAAAATGTACAACTTTAATAACATTATGTATAAATTGGGAACAATTAATTTAACATTTCTGAATTCAAATTCACAACCTAAACTATCCCAATTTGGACACAACATAACCATCAACTGTTAATTTATATTAATGACAATTGAAAAAGATTATAAAATAATGTCTATAATAAAGAGAATTAGATGTTCTAATTTAATTTAGGCAGACCATACATCATTTATCCACAGCATCTTCACATACAAAATACTTGAAATAAAAATATTTAAATACAAATTATTACCCTACTAGAATTCTGTAAAGCCAAATAGAAAGTACCATTCTACAATTCAAAGAGATGAATAATGTCACTCTTGGCTAGAACTTTTTAGAGGATTAGATTATTTGGAGAGAAAAAAAAGTTGTCTACTCTTAAACTAGAGGCTGCATATGGAAAAACGATAGAGTGCGCATATATTCTTTACTCAAATGGTATGCCAGGAGACCACCCTCTACCAACTATGTTTATACATACACCTACTAAAGCAAACTTGAAAATAAAGGAAACAATACAATACATGTAAGTCTCCAAATAAATGCACACATGACTGGCAAATGCATCCTAGAATAGTGAAGGCAAAATAAGGTCTGTTCCCTTCTATTGTTTCTTATGTTTATTCATTTACCAAATATTTAGTGAGCATCTACTATATACCAGGCATTGTTCTAGGCACCAGAGATGCATTGATAAACAAAACATAAAAATCCTTACTCTCTTGGAACTTTCACTTGTCAATAAATATTTACTTACTGCCTATGAAACGTTAGTACTGAAATAATTGCTGTCATGTTAATTCTCCTAAGAATACACTGAAAAATAGGATACAAAATTTAATATCCCATTCCAACTTCTAATGTATGGAAAGAGAGTTGAAAAGTAGAGCAATCAAGCTGAATTCTACTCAGAAGGGATTATTTACTTGATTTGACCCTAATACACTTTTTTAAAATTATTGTGAATAACCAAATTTATAAAGAGAAAGTAGGAAATCCTTTCTATTCCACATGTCAAAATAGAATGAAAATTGACTTTCAGCTCAAAAGTCATGATTAACACAACCTCTTTAGAAACAAATAAATACGGGATATAAATTATTGATAATTTCTTCTAATCTTTTTGCCTAATAAAATTGATCCTTTAGAGAAATTAATAAATCAGAGCACTAATCATCATAAAGTTGAATTCATATCCACCTCAAAGAATCCCACAAACCTCAAATACTTCTATCTTACACCATATACAGTGAGAGAGAAACATAATTTATAGTTTATTGGCATCTAAAATATTAAGAGCAAATCATTTTTAAAAAGTCTCTCTACCAAAAAATTTCTGCACAGGATTTAAAATACTTTTAGCAAATAGTTATCAACTAGAATGCATGCAATAGCTAATTCCAGTTAGCTATTCTAGTTTCAATAAATCTAATGAAAATTCGGAGCATTGTTGACTTTCCAAGGAGGACAAAAAGACAATAGGATCTTTTTCTATGTTTGAGGAGAAAGTAACTTCACCAACTAGTCAGGAGAAGCACTAATCCTTTCTCCACTGTTAAAAACCATCTGTAGAATCCTTTGTATGTCTAAAGATTTCACTACAAATGTGTTTTTGAATAAATTTCCTTATACCTAAAAGGGATAATAAAAATACATCAGCATAGAGAAAGATTATCACTGCATTAGCAATATTTGCACCCACTATTTCTACATCCTGAAGTGCCTCTGGCAGTTGTTACTAATATGGAAGATTTGCTACAGTATGTTATAAAATATATGAAGCCAGAGAGTAATAACATGTCTGTTATTTATGTGGCATAGTTCACACCTTCATTAACATTAAATATTACCTCATGAATTCTGCAAGAGAAAAATAATTTATTAAAAATCCTCACATAGTTGAAAAGATTCAAACAAATCAACAAATAATTTTAAAAAATATAAAACATTCTATATTACTCTTCTACCTACATTATTATTCACAAAAATACTAATTAAGATGAGTAATTGAAGTTCAAGTTAAAAGTAAACATATTTTCTTAATTTATATATCTTAAATAAAAATGAACTGTGACTTGAATATCAAAGTACAACTTAGAAGTCTGAAAGTTGAAAAAGAGTGACTGGAAACTCTAGTTTGTCTTTTATTCTTAGTCCCTGTACATTTCTGACTAAAAGTGAGGGACATTTTCACTTGCCATTTCCAAAACATAAAGACCAGTTAATCGTCATCCCCACCCAACACACACAGCCTCGTGGTGTATATTAATAGTAAATCAGTTTTTTTTTTTTTGTTTTTTTTTGAGACAGAGTCTCACTTTGTTGTCCAGGCTAGAGTGAGTGCCGTGGCGTCAGCCTAGCTCACAGCAACCTCAAACTCCTGGGCTTGAGTGATCCTTCTGCCTCAGCCCCCCGAGTAGCTGGGACTACAGGCATGCGCCACCATGCCCGGCTAATTTTTTATATATATATCAGTTGGCCAATTAATTTCTTTCTATTTATAGTAGAGACGGGGTCTCGCTCTTGCTCAGGCTGGTTTTGAACTCCTGACCTCGAGCAATCCGCCCGCCTCGGCCTCCCAAGAGCTAGGATTACAGGCGTGAGCCACAGCGCCCAGCCAGTAAATCAGTTTTTAACACAATCACAGACTCATTCCCAATACGGTAGGAATATACTTATGAAACATATAAAAAGAGTGACATACCAAATATAAATTTTCAAAAAAGGGAAAAATCATATTTTTAAAACTATTTCAGAAATAAGGGCCAAAATATATGCTACTATAGGTTTTTATAAATAATTTTTACCAAAATTATAGGCATTCTCTAATATGGCTAACTGGTTTTTGTTTTTGCCATGATACTTTCCTTTGAAAAAGAAACAAGGCAAAATACTCCATCTAAAAACAAATGTGTAAGAACAAAAGGAGGTATTGAGGTATTTAATTTGTGTTATTTTATAATACAAAATTTAAATGCTTCAAAAGTCAAATATTTTAAAAGAATAGTGAAAACATTTTCTAAGAGGTAAAGGCTTTAGGTTAATTGAAAGAAATAATGAGTACTTCACTTGGGTGATCTGATCTTGGACTTTTCAGTTACAAAATATGGGAAAGAATTAAGAAATCATGATGATTTTATCCCTAAATTTAAGAACACACTGTCAATTGCTAGGAAAAACTCTAATTTTTACTAAAATGTCACTAATATTAATTTAGCAGAAGGTCTATCTAAAGTAGATTTAAGTTACAGGTCTATTTACTTTTTTCCATATATTCAGAAATCATCATAATAAGGAAATTTTTAATCAGCATTTCCAGTGGTTCCCCAAATTTGAACAGTTGATGAAAATGTTTATAAGTTCACAAAACTGTAATCATTCTTTTTACACTTACCAGTATCATAGTGATGCATCTGATAACAGTGAAAAACTTCATGAAATAGCAATGGTAACTCTGTTTTATCTCTATTATTAGCAATTTATGTGTTATCTACAGCTTCACTTTTTCTTTTGGCCCACTTTTATTTCTCTTTAGGTCTTAGGATCTGAGCTCATCTATAAGGCTGATTACTGTCCATTTTATACAAATCGTTTTCAAACAGTTTATCATTGTGTTGGACATTAATCATCTTTTTCCATATATATCTTTTAATATATCTTAAAATATATTACTGGTCACACAAGTAGACAAAACTGTTTATCTCAGACATAGAGATGCAGAGTACAAGTATTTGCTTCACAATAAATATCAAACTAGAATATTTTAAATATTTAATTTCCCATTAGTTACTTTTTACAAAAATGGCAGCTCATTACTTATTAACTTGAAAATATTATATCTGTACCAAAAACAGTATGGAAACCTAATAAAGCATTACACTTGTGGCTCTATTTTTCAGATATTCCACTGTACAAAATAGCCATTAAATGATACAGAGATCATAAGGGACTGAGAAAGGAAGGTTAAGAAGCAAAATAAATAAGTAAATAAATAAAACAAGCATTTAGAGGCAAGCAACACATGCAGAACAAGCAAGAGATTAGTGTACATGAAGAAGAGGCAACTTACATGGCTGTTGAGAAGAGAGCTTCTGTGAGTGGATAGACCGTCAGACTTTTGCAGCGTCTCAATCGCCATTTCAATCTGATAATAGATGTCATTAAAAAAAGGGCTCAAGACAAGATAGTAATAAAAGGCTGACCAGAGAATTTTTGATAGACTCTTTAAAGCTCAATTTCTTCTTCAATGGTGGCTAATGAATAGCTATCACTAAATGTGTTTTCACCCCTTCTTCCCCCCACCCCCAGAGAGAAGAAAATAAAAATATGCACACTAATAATAAGCCCAATCACAAAGGTAAACCTTTTTGAACATTCTGCAATTATAATCAGAATGGAAATTTGAGGAGCAGGAACCCTGGTGGATTTTTCTAGTTATGAAAAAACATTCTTGACTTTCACAGTTCAAGATGTGGGATAGTAACCTGGCTCTTTGTAAATAGTCTCCCACCTAAAGAGTATTTAATATTTGTTCTGTTAGGTCGTGAAGGAAAAATCATACTACCGATTCTGAGTTTAATATGTATTAGTATTTTAATGTAAATGTACAAAGATTCCTTCATTAATGTTCAAAAGCTACTTAATCTATATATCCCTCTCTTAAAATTTGGAAATGGGGGGTCATTAGTATGAACAAACTTTATGATCTAATCACAGTGCCTATATTTTTGGATGTGGTGGTGAGGCAAAGATATTAGAAATGACAGCAGAAATGGAATGTAGAAGAGAAAATAATTCAGAGCCAACAGAGAAAAGGGACAATCACAGAAATAGATTTATTCCACGTAATCTCAGCATACCATAAGCAATCGCATAACCTTAATTAAGTAGCAGGTGCCGATGATAAATGTCATTCACTCTTAATAACCTCATATTTCAAGTTATCTATCTTTCCACCCCTGGTATTATTGCATGTTCTGTTAAAAAACGGGTACTAAACACCCTGTAATTATATACTGGGTTATATTAGTAATATCAACTAATATTACACAATTTAAGAGAGGAAATTGATCTCATTCTTTTTATTTTAACAATCTGATCACATTAAAATTTAGTATAAGCAGTTATAAAAATATTTAAGGCTTTAAAACATAGTTAACTTTCTCACACTTCACACTGGCTATACAAATTGATGATGCCTTGAAATTTTAACATACTTCCCCCTTCCTAAACAAAAATGATAGACAGTAATATCCTTAGCAAAGTCTTTTAATTTTCTATCAAATTTACAATTTCTTTGTAGTAGAACACTTTATACACAGAATGTTCACTATCAATTATATCAACATTAAATCTAATTTTCTTCTAAACAACTTGGAAATTAATAGCTTTAATTTTATTTCATATTATTTTCCCAAGCTGCTGGTTCTTCCTTGGAGTTAATAAAATGTAATACTGAGAAGAATATGTTAGGTTAAGAAATTATAGAAAAAATATTCTTTGAAAAGATATTAAATTAAATCATAAGAAGACATAATATAATTTATTCGATTGTTAACTTTTTCAGATCACAAAATTAAGTAAACCAGCTTCTAAAACATTCTCTCTGCCAGAGGGATGTTAATGCATTTTATCATTACACTTGAAAATAAACCGAAGAAAGTGATATTGCACAAGTGAGAAAAGATACATTAGAGAAAGAATAATGTACATGTAATGACTAAACAAACATTTTTCCAAAATGTTAAACTGTGAAAGTATAAAGGACTTCATATTATATCTTTTAAAAGAGAAGCAATAAGTGCTATTGTTTTCAAAGAGAAAACATAGATTAGAAAATTGCTGAAAATATTCATGTGACTATAAATCACTTCTAGGAAGAATTTGCTCAAAACCCTAATTTGCTAAAATGCTTACATTTTCTTTAAAGTTTGAGCATGGAGAATTTGAGGTAACACTTCAGTCTATTAAATAAAAATAAAATGGCCCATAACTTATGATATTAGAGGTTTAAATAAAAGGTAAAAATTATAAGAAATATAATCACTGAGCAACACTGATGAAGTCCATACTCTGGATTTATTAGGAAGCAATTTTAAGTCAGAAAAACACTTCAGCACCTTTTTTCTGGGAAAAAAGTTGGAGATCTGCTTCTATCACTAACATTGCTACTTTTCAATAGAAATCTGAGTGGACCTAGATTTCCAGACAATTCCCTAGAAGGCCAGGTTGTTAGGAACAGCCTTCAAATTTCTGGTCAGTTTTTGAAGAGCTTTGGAAAACAGCAAGAAAGGAGCAAGAAGATATATGTTGGTCAAATTGGACTCCCTAGTGATGGACATACTGCCTTTCTAGAATGCCTTGGACCTTCAGAATTTTGGTTCTTCTTTATATCATTTTGTAATATAAATAATAAATAAACTATTTCTTTTAGCTTTAGTAATCTTCTGCCTAACTGACTCAGGCCTGTGCTGAATTTGTGGACACCAGGGAACAGAAAGGAGAAAACATGGAATGACAGGACAATCAAGAAATAAACACTGAGTTTTTCTATAAGGAAGACAAACAGTTTCAGAGCATATATGTTGGAGCCTACTTGGAAACGTACAGGCTTCCAAATACCTATAAATTCTTTGAGGCTTATTAATCAATCCAAAGGAATATACAGAAGATTTAGTTACCATCTCACTGATTACAACTTCTGAGAAGCATACAAAAAACTCAATATGTATTTAGCATATTCATTAAAAAACAAAACCACAACTTTGAAGGGAATTCTAATCTCATGAAAGGATGATAGACCTAATTACATTTCTTTAATCCCATGGCAGATTAAAATTACATTTTTAAAAGGATGGGTTTTATTTATTATATAGCTACTGTATACTTATCATATATAGGGAAGTGCGCAGGAAACTATAGCTAAAAAAACTTCAAATGTTATAATTTACTAAGAGAGACTAGGGTATGTAGTCATATTATACATTATGAACAATGCATAATTATACAAACAAAGCTATAAGAGAAACAAAAATAAAAGCATAGTTGAGAAAGGTATTAGAAAATGTAAACAGTATTCTTTAACTTTTAGAAGAGTCTTGGTCACCTTCTGAGGATGTATGAAAACTGCAAAGCCTCTACTTTAAAAAAACTTATTTAAGAACACCTACAAAATTTGCATTCACTTTCTCAGAGTTCCTCAAATTCAGAACCCATGCTTTAAAAAGATGTAAGGGTCTCAGTGGGTAAAAGTGAGGGAAAGAAAGGGTATTCTAGGCAGGAAAAATAGGCTCAATAAAACCAAGAGGAATGAAAACACAGGGTGTGTCCATATTTGGGACAAGGAATCTAGGTTGTAGGGTATGGTATATAGGTGTGGTCTTAAGAAAGGCTGAAAAAAATAGGTTGGAATTAGATATTGGTATGTGGAAGTCAAGGAAAAAGCAAGGTCATCAAGGTTATGAGGGAAGTATATGGATGTTGAAAAATCCTGGTTTTCAGATAAGACCAGGAGATGGGTTTTGCTAATTATAATGGACAGCACTAGTCATAAGGTTAAAATAGGTAAGGGATGAAGTGTGCTCAATAAATGTTTTTGGGTTGAACAGAAGTTGTCAGGAACAAGTGTATGAAGAAGAGATTATCATCTACGGGAATATATTATGACAACAGAGGGAAAGTGAGGGTGAAAGAGAGGTTAGAGGAATAATATAAAAATGGGAAAGAAGAGTAATAATGAAGGAACATTTTGATATCATAAAATTATGGAAGATTAATTAGTGTTATTATTCCAAAGGAATTATTGATATATATAAGGAGGGGTTGGATAGAGGAACAGAGGACTGAAGTGCAAATAAGCTAATAAAATGTTAGTGAATGAGGATAAATTTCTACCAGGCTCATTAAGAACAAAATTAATTTGTTAACTTTTCCATTACAGTAGATTAGTTATTTGAGAAAATATTTGTTCAACCTTCTGGAATTTGACCAATCTCAAGAAAAAGATGGTACATTTCAGTATTTGACACCTGAAACACTGAGACAGAAGTGAACTGGTAAGATCATATGCCACCAATTTACTGTAGATCATTTAAAAAATTAAATTCATTCCTTAGGAAAAACTTATAAATTCTCTTAGGTAGTAATATACTTAGCCCTAAATGATATTCCACCACAATAACTGTAACCGTCATGCAGGAAATGATGATCAGGTAAGACAGATGGAAAATTTTCTTAAAAGTAGGCTCATTGATCCAAAAGATTATTGGCCCAAATGTTCAACATGATTTTGTCATATATCAACTGAGGAAATGTTCCTAACCTTATCAAAGATATTATATCACTGTAGCTTCATACAATGTAAGTGATTAAATAGTTAGATTATCAAGTAGCTAGAATTTAAAAGTGATTCAAATTTATCATTGCTTGACTAATTGGTAGAAGAGACACAATGGGTCTGTTCATTTACAAAGGACTGTGTGTGTGTGTGTGTGTGTGTGTGTGTGTGTGTGTATACAGTCTAAGTGATTAAAGGCAACCAGAATGAATTAAATAATTAAATATTACTAGAATATAGAGGAAGGGAGAGAAGGGAGAATTACTTCCTACTGTTACAATTAGACAAACCATGCGTAAGGCTGTTCTTTAGTAGAGAACTGACAAATTATGCCTAGCATTTTGATAGGGGCAGGTTAGTGAACATTTAGGCAGAGCAAACAAAATACGACACTACAATGTAAGTCTCAGGAAGGGTAGAATTGGCTAAAGAGTAAGGTTCCTTTAGGCATAGGTAAATTAAGTTGGACAGACTACAATTTCTTGGCAAGGATCTTTAATTAAATAGGATGTGAGCAATTGTTGAAAAGTCTTGAGAAAGGGAATTAATCTGATGTGGCAGCACTCTATGTATTAATTTGGGATATAGTGTAGGACGGGAGGGAGCTAGACAGGAAAACCAATTTGGAAACTATGGTAATTGTCTATGAAAGCTTGGTAGTAAGGCAGCAGTGAGAATGAAAAGGTAGAATACAAACATAGTTTTGAATTACAGATCTAAAGCGGGGAGTTTAAGGCAGAAAGCTTGGTAGTGCCTTATTTTTACTTGAAATAAACACAACGGCCTTTATTTCATCACTGTGTGATTAGAATGTTTCAAACACACATATCAAACACATTGGCATAAATAGATTCTAAAATGTTTTCCTGTTCATTTCTCTGCTGCATAATCTTTATTCTAAAAATACTGATCATTTTGTTATTGAAATTTCAACTCTAGTGCAAAGTATTGTAATCAGATTAACAAGAGGCCTGTGACAACCTAAAAGTCAGACTAATTCCAGGTCTCAATGATGTCTCTCTTCTTGAGTGTTGCTCCTTTTTCTCTACATATCTTTTCCTTTCTCTTATATTCTCTTTTCACTTTTCTAAATGTCTTTTCTTTTTTTACTTAATGATATGGAGCCAAATATTTTTTATGACTAAAATAATCTTTTATTTTTTTCAATTAAAAAGTGGGCATGGTAAACATTTTCTATTTTTTACTTAAACTAATGAAGCTTTAGACTATGAAAATATGCTTGCTTATTTTTTTAAAAAATCAATAGTCTGTACTAAGATATAGTGATCGGTTGTATCTACTAAACAATCATCTTGGGATTGAGTCACCAATAGTGTACACATCCTCCCCATGATTATCTAATGCCAGGATATAAGGCACTTGGGAGTCAAGACTAGTTCATGATAGTCCTGGACTGTTGCCTCATAATCAGATAAGAAGCTATGGCAACTCCTCTGAGATCAAATGGTGGGGTGCTTCATTTGAGATGAGATATTCAGTCTGGAAAGACAGGCTTACAAAGCATTAAGTGAGATCATTAACATAGGTGGGATGTAGAAACTACCCACGTGAAATAGCAGGTAAGAGTCTGATATCCATTCCAGCCTCTATCGGTACATGACTTCTTAGAAAAACTAGATTCTTTTCTGGAAGATAACAGAAGACCCTTGGCAATATATTTGGGATTATTTAAAATTCTCCAGATTGACTATCTAGAAGACGATTCCCAGGAGAACAGAAATCTTCTCTATATCGGTTAACACCCAGTAATGGGGACCAATTGTCTAGTACTATTGGAAGCCACAAAGATCTTCAGAAAATGGAGAGGAGGATTCTGTACTGCATTTAGACAGGCTGTTGAAACAGTGGAGGAGCAGCTGGCCTCTAGGGAAGAAAAGTGATAAAGATGGATAAAACATTTCCCAGCCTTAGGAATTATATGAGGTCTCAAAGCTTCAAATGTGATCCTGACAGAATGCCTGCAAAGGTTGAAGAGTCAAAGGTCAGGTGGAGAAAATGTGGAGAATTCACTATATTTAATATGCCGAATTCCTGACCATACATTACCAGGAAGATCAAAAGACCTCTTTGCAATGTGTCATATGACAAGGTGCTATGGAGCATAATTAGAAAAATCAGCCTGGTCAGAGTATCTTGCTGAGAGAGTGGTTCACAATGAAGGTTATTCAGAGAAAATTAGAGTTCATTAGAGAGTACAAGAACCCACCTCTTATGACTTTTGCTACAAATAACTTAAAATGGGTGAAGAAAGAGACCAAGGTAATCTATGAGAAAATAATATTTGGATTGGGGTACCAGGTAGGAATTGGAGAATTAAAGTAAATCCAGAAGTGATTAGCTCTTCCAACCAAACACCGAATTCTGAAAAGACAAAATCCCAGGGATAGTATATAAGTGGGTTGCCCTCATCTGAGTAGAAGGATCTCCATACTAAGTCTGAAGTGCCAGAGACTATACCAATTAATTTGCTTCTGGGGTACAAAGTAGCATGATCACAAATGTGATAAAAATATGATCCCATGGCAACAAGCAGACCTTAAGTCTTACGGGGTAGATTCAAGAAAAAAAATGCAATGACTCTGTAAGGCAGAGTACATCATTTCTTTTTAGTACACCAAGAATGCACATTTTATGGCAGACTATAGTAATGAAGGTAATCTTCCAGAGCTTCTTAGGAATTAGAATTAGAAATTCAGAAAAGGCAAAGGAGATGTTATATTTCACATCCAGGAGGGAAAAAATAAAGCTCAACGGTGCTCCTACAATGATATAGCAACCCTTCTAAGAAGAACCTATAAGGGCCAGGGCACCTATTACCTGACAGGGGACAGAGATATAGTGTGAGAAACATGTGGCTTAAAACTCAGGCTGAAAACTGTTTTCCAGTCACTAAAATGCTAACGTTACCTATTGCTGGAATTAAAGACAGGTAGATAGTCTCTAGGCACCCAGACCTACCTTGAGGTTTATACAATATCCAACCAAGAATCAGTGTCCCAAAAGGAACCTCAGAGAAAAGTCCTACCTGAGCCCCCAGAAAAAGAAGATGGTGGGGAGACAAGGAGTCAAATGAGGTCTGGATGGTCAGTGAACACTGTCCTTGTGTTCTCTTTTGTTATGCTCAAAGAAGGGATCAATATTGTGCTTTTTTCTAAGGCAGTGCATATTTTTAAAGAGAAAAATATAAGAGAAAAAAAAGTTTTCCTATTATTAATATTTATCATTCTCACTGTTATTTACAATTTCTCATTTCCTTCTAATGAAAGAGAACCCTTCTAATGGTATGTCCCTTTGTTTTGCAATTTCTACCAGGCTTACTTGCTCATTGAAGGGCTGAGAGATTCAGAGGAGACCGGAACAATCCTAGATCTGGAAAGAATGGAGGTGAATGATCACTGGCAGAAAGAAAGGACAGACTGGGAGAACAAGGTGATGCAAAGAGGCTTTGTGCGACCGTGTTTCGGAGAGTGTGATGCTAACCAGGGCTGGGGAACCTGTGGCTCTGCGGCCACATGCGGCCTTCTGGATCCTCCAGTGTGGCCTCTTAACTGAATCCAAATTTTACAGAACAAATCCTTTAAAAATACACCATCAGTGCTTTCCCCTACAAAATCTTCAGTAAAATCTGTGCCATTCACAGGTAATTCTCATACCAGTTAATCAAGACTGGTTGGAGCACAGGGTTTATTTAGGGGCACTTGATAACTCCAAAAAGGTAAACCACGGTTTGAAATGCAGGAAAAGGAGGTGCTGCTGAGTCTTTTGTATGATTTACATGGGGCAACAAGAGGCTTTCCTGGACATGTGGTTTATATACACATTTATGTACATCTGTGCAATGTTCCTAATAGAATATCATATACATGGATAATTAGGATTCTCTCTTAATGTAAATATCGACCTTTCATTCCACTAATGCTAATAAGACAGAAAGAAAAAGAACAATTATATCATCTTATTTATTATCTTTATAGGTCAAAGCATGTTCTCCTGACTCCAAAATGGAATTTTAATCTTTTTTTTAAAGACTAAAGGTCAAGATTGATATATTCAAGTACCATTATAATTAAAATTGGTAGAAACTATTTCTTTTCTAGAACTGTTAGTGATTTGAAAATAGAATACTTAATACTTTGTGATTTAGAAAGCCTTTTACATTAATTCTTATTTGATCTTCACAGTACCTTTGTAAACTAGGAAAGCCAAGGAATATTATCTCCTATTCACAGATTAGAAAACTGAGGCTCCCTGGGATTGAGGAGCTTTTTTGAGAGTATTAAGTATTAATATCAACTATGATATTGAAATCCAAGGTTTATCACTATAAGTTCAACATCATTTTCATTACATACAAATGTAACATGAATATAAATAAAGTTGAAACATCTCAAATTGTTGTAATGAAACTACCTTCTGAGGAGTGGCTTTTAAAATCAAAATTTGCTAAATGATTTACTGTTAACAAGATTTACTCTCTAATAGAAAATAATTTAAATAAGATTGATAAGTATTACTTGAAAATGATTTTAAATGATCAAGTTACAAGGCAACAAAAAGTTTTGACTGAATAGTAAAATTTTAGTCATAAAAATTGTTATCCTAACATGATTGCATTTTCTTGCCAATACAGGTTAGTGTTTTAACCTCATCAGTGAGTAGCTTCTCAGAAAAATAGCATTTCTGTTTCAACATGGAAAAAAAACCCAGTGAATTCTTTAGAAAAACCCAATCAAGAGGATAAACTTCTTATGATCAGAAATTTCCTTCTGAGTAATTTCTCTTCTGAACTCTAGTACTTTAAATTTTGTTTGCATCTGAGATCAGGTAAGAAAGAAACATTTCTACTTGGAGACTTGTGTTCAGAAAAGGTATCTATGATGGCTGATATCATCACTTAGCCACTGCTCATTCACCTGTTTGAAATGACAGCCTCCTGGTGTTGTATAGTGAGAGGGATTTCTTACAGGAAGCATTGCAACCAGGAATAACAAAGGAAAGAACATTTTCACTTTGTATTTAATGTATATAATCACTAAAACTGAGGTTTTCCAAAATGTGGTCTTAGAATAGCCATATCAGAATCATTTAGGTATTTGTTAGAAATGCCCAAACAAAACCAAACCCAACAGTGGAATCTCTCTCACATGTATATTGCTAATGCTTTGATCTCCTCTTCAATTTGCTCAAAGCAGTGCTTTTCAGAATGGTAAGGTACAATCAATTAGTGAGTTATAAAATCAATTATGTAGGTCCTTACCAGCATTTCTAAAAAGTTAAAAAATCGAATAGAGTAGAAAATAATCAGAGTTCACTGCACACAGCATGGCTAAGTATCCCTTCATGGAACTTTGGTTTCAGTCATGTTTATGTGTACATGTACATACACAGTCATATATGTGTGTATGTAGATGTACACCTGTGAATGTATTTCTCATTTTAGGTTGTGGATTTAAAATTTTGAATACCTGCACTAAGCAGTTAAATCAGTATCAGTTCCCTTCTATTCAATGAATACCTTCTAAGGATTCTACAGAGTATGTCTGGAAACCAGGAGGCTTGGCAAATGCACATAGAAACACCAACAATCAAGCTATGGCTCTAGCTATGATAATGTTCTTTAAGTTCTATATGTAAGTGCTATAGAAATTGATATGTATCTAATATATGATATGATATATATGATTGATATGTATCAATCTAATAAATGATTGATATGTATCTAATATATACATTACTTTCACAGCAATGCTGAAAGAAGCTTAACTGTGAGAGATTCAGAACAGCCTGTACTTTCAATCGTTAAAATTTTTCTAAGATAACCAGAAAACACACCTAGCCAACTTTTCTTTTCATGTCCTCTTGGACCAGAAAAGTAGCTAAAGACAAAATCTTGATTTTACATACTAAGTAGGCATTTAGAGAAAAGAAGTTTTAGGTCGTACAAATGTTCAATTATAGGAAATATTTTCACTGATAATCTAGTCACTGATAATTTTATGACACATAGAGAAAAATCTAATTATTATGCTTTCGACCTGAAGTTTTGGCAATTTTGTACCACCTCAAATTATTGTGAGCATTTTGGTAGGAAAAAACCATTTGGATAAAACCCTGTATAAACTGAATGTGTTCTGAAAACATTTGGTTTGTTTAAATTGGATGGTGGGCTGAAATTAAGACTATCTTCTTGGACTTTCTTTGATTATTCTGAGACATCAATTGCAGAATCACTTGGGGGCTAGAATTACCCTTCAGGAATATGCTGGGTTAGAATTAAATACTAGGATTCAAACTCAAACTTACATTTTCAAAAGGTCCCTGCCTTTTGCAATTTATTCTGAGTGCTAGAACATTTTCACGTTGTAATTGGTCTATATAGCTACTTTGGTTTTCTCAAAGTGTGGCCCTCAACAGGCATTTTCAGTAATACCTGGGTGCTTGTTAGAAATGCAAATTTTGGGGCCCTTGCCCACACTGACTGAATCAAAAGCCTTAAAGGTGAGATCCAGTGATGTGCTCCAGAAGATGCACACTCAAGTTTGAGGACCACTGCAATAAAACATGATCAAAATCTTATTTCTTTACCAGAGTCTGACTGCAATTACTACTTAGGGGAGTACAAGTAGGTAGGTAATGGGTGGGTATGGCTACAATGGTGCCATAAGTCTATTTAAAGGGTGATTTCACAGTTTAAGTTTTATTTGGATTTGTGCTTCTCTTTCACTCTCTTGCTACCCAACCCTATCCAACCTTTAGGCTATTTGAACTTATATTAGTAATATTATTAGAAGATAAGCATGATTTTGGTGAATCTACAATTAATTAATTTATAACAAATTAACATGTGTGATTTAAAAAATAATGTAGTAAGAAATGTTGAAACTAACCACTTAAAAGTCTGCAGGCTATTTGCAGATTTCCATTTTTTGCCTAGGATGATTAGGTACCTTTCAGTGCTGGAATTAGCTCCATTGGCCCATATCATAAACCTTTATGTTCATAGAAGCACAGTGCCTGGTCAATAGTGATTGCTCAATAAGCGTTTGAGAGAGTGACTAAAGAAAATAATCCAGACTGTAAACACATGAATACAAATACAACACATTCACTTTTTTATTACAAAATACTGAATAATAAGAATGGCTCTAAGAATTTCAATTAAATTTAATGTCAGTTTTCACTGTCTAAACTTTCAACATTCTAATAAAGGAGGGCTTTATATGAAACCTAGGATCAAGATTTAATTTGAATCCTGACACCTCATAGATAAACTGGGCACATAAGGAAGCGGTTGACCTACATGCATTTGGGGACTATGACCAAATAGATATATTTTATAATCATTAAGAGATTGCTAGAGATTGCTGAAAATAACAAATTATATTTTTGAATGAATAATATATTCATACACCTCCCACCATTTTTTCTTCATGCATCTTTCTAAAGATATTTTTGTGCTTACATAAGAATACACAAATGTATGTTTCTATTTACAAACACACACAACTACCCCTTGCTTTTGAACTTAAAAAATGTTTTAGAGCTCTTTCCACATCAGTATCTATATCTATCTATATGCTACTTCACTCTATTTAAAGGCTATATAAAATTCCACCAAATGCACTAAAATGAATTTAACTATTTCTCTGCTGATGTATAAAAAGGCATTTTCCAATCTTTTTCTATTACAAATAACTCTACAAGGAATATAGTTGTCTATGCAACATTTCCTATATATAAAAGTATCATCAGTAGGATAAATTTCTAAAAGTAGATTCACTGGGTCAAAAGATATGTGGATTTTCAATTTTAAGTAAAATTTCCACATTGCTCTCTGATCTTTGGCCAATTTAGATTCCTATCAATATCAATTCTCAATAATGATTGAGAATACCTATTTCCTTACATACTTGCCAAGGCTAACTCATTCTTCAGTTTTGCCTATATGGGAGATGAAAGTGGTATGTCTTTGTTGTTTATTTTTCATTTCCTTTTCATTGGACTGCCTGTTCATGTACTTTCCCCATTTTTGATCTTTTTTTTTTTTTTATGGATTTGTAAGAGTGGTCTATAAATTTAAAACAATTGGTCCTTTGAATATAATGTCTCAAAACTTTATGACAGTTTGTTGCTTCTCCCTTGCCTTTGTTTATTGTGGTTTTTGTCATGCAGAATATTTTCACTTTTATGTAATTGAGTTTATCAATATTTTCTTTATAGCTTCTGGATTTTATATCACGCTTCCCACTCTAAGAGAATAAAACACATTTTTCCATCCAAGTGAAATTAATTTTGGTTTAAGGAGTAATGTATGAAACCAATCTAATTTTCTTTTCTTTTCCTTCTTTTCTTTCTTATTTTTTAGAGGTGGTATCTTGCTCTGTTGCCCAGGCTATTGTCTCAGTGGTGTAATCGTAGCTCACTGTAACCTGGACCTCCTAGGCTCCAGGGACCATCCTGCCTCAGCCTCTCAATTAGGTAGTACTACAGGCATGAGCCAATATACTCAGCTAATTAAAAAAAATTTTTGTGTGTGTGGAGATGAGAGTTTTGCTATGTTGCCCAGGCTGGTCTCAAACTCCTAGCAATTTTCTTTTATAAATGGTTATTCAGTTGTTCCAAATATCATTTACTGATAATCCATCATTTCTCCATTGACAGGCAATACCACCTTTATCATCATATATTATATTCCTATATTTGTCTGGCCTATTTATGTTCTCTAGTCTATTCATATACCTAGACAATTGTTTTCAGTATTATAATTCTGTAATGTTTTAATAGCTAATAGGCTGTTTCCTCCCATCCCACCCTTCATGTTTTCTTTTTACAAAAATTTTCTATGCTATTCTCACATGTTTATTTACATAGAGTCTTTCCTATAAAAGAACAAATCTATTAGTATTTTGATTGAGATTATGTTGCAATATTTTAAATTAATTTAGTAAGATAATGCTTGATACTGAAATTTCATATTCAAAAATATGGTATGCCTTTCCAATTATTCAAATTTCCTTTTGTGTTCCTCAGAAACTTTAAAAAGTTTTATTTAGCAGCTGGATCTTGCACATATATTGCTTTACTGCCAGGTATTTTTTCATTTTATTATAAATGAGATCTTTGCTTGCATTGTATTTTCTAACTACTGTTGTTTGTATCAACAAACACTATTTATTTCTTTGTATATTAATTTTGTACTCTGTCACCTTACTAAATTGTCTTATTTGTTATAGTTTTCATTTGGTTCTCTATGATTTTTAGCAGGCACACAATTATATCATCTACAAGTTCTTACCTCTTTACCACTTTTCTATTTTTATATTTTATTTCCTTCTCTTGCCTAACTGCATCTTTTCTGTAATTTTGAAAGCACAATTAAAAATCACATCTTCCTTTCTTATGAGACAGATGGGAAAGTCACTAAAACTTACAGTGATTAAATTTAAAATGAATGTGTAAAAATTGTTTCTAACAGTCTGTAGATTACAAAACTCCTAGCCCATGAAATTTACTGTCACCAAAGTTACAATCAAACACCACAGCTAGATTTTAAAAGAAACCAGATAGTTCTGTGGCCAGTAAATGCAATTATAGTTATGTATGCTAAGAAAGTGGTAATCGAATGATGTGTTTTTAAAGATGAACTAGTATGCGTAGGGACATGGAAAATTCCCTCTCATTACAGAAATGACAATTGGTCCTACACATTGTATCATATTTTCTTCCATTAAAATAAAGACACGGGTCAGTAGAAGATGCAGAGTTAAATCTTCATGGGTGTAATACTGACTCGCACATAACTTAGAGACTATATTATATTTTAATTTGCCACCAACGCATTTTATATTTCATCTGGATTACCTGATATCCATGAGTAAAGCATAAAATTAGTGGAGTTTTTTCCTTTAAAATTTATGATAGTTTCGAAGTAGTAAACTAATTTGAAATTTGATTTGTAAATATAAGGATCTATGAGACATAGCCTACTTTTGTATTTATGAGTAGAATTTACAAACATCCTTAAACCTTCCTAATCTAGATTTTGTATGAAATAGAATCTTGCTATTTTCTGCATGTTACCATATACCTGTGTTCTGAGATGCTGTTTCAGTATGAAATAGCTAAAAAATAAAATAATTCATTATTGTATTCTGCTTTAAAAATTCAGGGGAATTCACTGGTTATGCTCACGAGAGACTGAAGGACCCTGTCATTCTGTTTGTCTTAACCTTCCAGTTTATCAAGATTTCTAGGAGTGGAATGTCTTACAGCTTTAACGGTAAAATTACTGCCTCCAGATCTTATCAGCTTCAAGGCTGGAGCAGTGTGGAACTGATTGACAGCTGAATGGAATATAGATGAAGTGATGGAGACTACAAGTCACTCAAAGTCCCATTTTATTAAGGGCTTTGAAAATGAGGTCCCAGAACCTTCAGTCAATTTACGATTTAGTGCAGGAAGCAGAGGATTCGTGGTACTCTGTCTGAGGAGTTTTATTTGAGGGATCAGGTTGGCCTACGGAAAATGGGACATAGGAAAACAGAAAATGCTAAGATCTTAATGAAGATACGTGCTTCTGTCAAAATAAGTGGAGAGTGGTTTTCTTTAATCACTGAAGTTAATTGGAAGATAAAATTATTTTAAATAGAAATCACTATTCTTGTAATATAAAATAAAAACTATGATGTATAATAATTTATGTACATTTCTAACTTAGAAAAATTATTTTCTTCTAAGCATACCTTCACATATCATAACTAAACAAGTTTTCATCACAGGTGACTATATTGCTTCTCTATCTCTACATAGCCATAACCAATGATCCACCAAATTTTATTACTTTAACATTTTTCCCCCCTCTGGTAAGGTAGATGGGCAATTGAGCTCCTTCTAATAAAATTGCTTCTCATAAATATAAGTCCTCCAAGTATTGACACGAAAAAAATCTCTAAGATATAGTGTCGGGTGAAAAACAAAGAACGATGTGGTATTTTTGTTATAATTTCTGTTAAAAAATGGGAGACAGAGAGAAAAATATGTCTACTCTGGTTGAATATTCATAGACTATTTCTAGAATGATACTTAAAGAACTTTGTCAGATTGGTTGCCTCTAAGGAAGAGAATTGGGGAACAGGGGTGAGAGACAGAGCACTTCCTTTTATTTTTTAAATGTACAACTTAAGAATGTAAATTGATTCATATAAATAAATTAATAAAAGTTTTAAAGTAAAACAAATGGCCACTGGTAGCATGCCAACAAAAGAATAAGTCACCAAAATTATTTTCTGGAGAGCTAACCATATTAATCTTCTTAGAAAAAGTTTCTCCTTATACAAAATTCATAAAAATGTAAAGCCAAGAATAAAGAAATAAAAGCATCTATAATTCTTAAATGAATTTTAACTTTCCATAAATTATGTAAGTTAGAGCAAACTTTTACTTATATAGTGGCAGATAGACATTCACATTTTTCTCTAAATAATTAAAAGAAATTATAATATTTTACATTAATCAAAAGAGGTGGAAATAAGAATAATATTATTTTCGATACATTTTCCTTGTGCCTCTTGCTGAGATCTAATTTTAGCAAGAGCCTGTTAACATATATAATTACTAAATGTATATAAATAAAGCTGTTAAAATTAGCTTTCATATCATAGTTTCAAGAATGATTACTGTATTCTTATTTAGTAATGAAGAAAAATTCCATAAATAACCATTTAATTATAAGAATACAAATGTTATTTTATGAAAGATTGAAGACATTCTATTATAAAGACATCTGCACCCGAATGTTTATGCCAGCACAATTCTCACTATTGCAGGGACATGGAAACAACCCAAGTGCCCATTAATTCATGACTGGATTATTAAAATTTGGTATATGTTTACAATGGAATATTACTCAATTCCAAGAAACGACAGCAAGCTAGCACCACTTATATTATCCTGGATTGAGCTTAAGCCCATTAACCAAAGTGAGGTGACATAAGATCAGAAAAATGGGCTCCACACGTATTCACCATCAAATTGGTACTGAACAATTATCAATATGGTGCTCAAAGGGTGGTAGTGTTCACCAGAGATTTGGGGGAAGGGGGGTAGACCCACATCTGAGGGATGTGGCAAACAGTGTGGAGGGGAAGGGTATACCTCTAACCCTTGCTAGGTAAAAGCAAAGTTATAAAATCTAACCAAAATGTTAAAAATAAAAAAAAAAAACAACATTTATTGGGTGTTGAGTAGGTGGGAGGAAGGAAGAGGGGATGGGTATATATACACATTATAAGTGTAAGGTGCATTGTCAGGGGGATGGACACATTTGAAGCTCTGACCTGAGGAGGAAGGGAAGGCAAGAGCAATGTATGTAACCTTAACATTTGTACCCCCATATTATTCTGAAATAAAAAATAATAATAATAAAATAATGTAAAAAAAAAAAAAGAAAGAGTGAATAAGTAAACCTTCTGAAAGCAAATTGCTAAGTATTGCATAGTCTTATATAAGATAAACTGCTGTGATGAACACACAAAAAATAACTACAGATTTAAAGATTTTGGATCTTCAAATGCATATTGTGTTCATGTTCCAAAACTCTATAATTCCATAAATGTTATGATTATACAGAAAAATAAGAAAAATTCTTCAGAGTTTCAAATGAATAAAGACACATAGGGAAACATTATGTTGATATAATTAGAAGGAAGGTGTTTAATAAGTTTGAAGTTTTAACTATAGCCAATACTTCTACCTTAATGTTCATGTGCTACTGAATATTGTGCCTCTTTATTGACATTGTGCCTACTTATTAACAATAAATAGATCGCTATCATTAATGAAATTTAAAACATTTATTCAAGTTGCAACTTAGCTAAATTCATATCCAATAATAATCTACAAAAATGTTGTAAAATCTTCATGAAAATTGCAGTTTAATATTATCAGCAGGCAATGCCTTTTAAATGTGTGCATATTTATATAAGTAAAAACATATGTATACATATAGAATTTATAAACATACAGACTCTATAGACCAAATAAAAGAACACAGTAAGTAAAAGAAGAAATAGTATTTTGACTAAATCTGAATATTGGTTGTTTATGCCATAATACAGTCATCATATAAAAGTTAATTTCCTACCATCATAATCTTTTGAAAAATGTTGACATTTCTATGTACCTTGAAAACTAAAAATTTTACAATGCATAAGCCAAAAATGAAATACTAAAACAGCTTTATACAAAATATTTTTTCATTTAAAGTTATAAAAATATATCATGTGCTCAAATAAAAATTACCGTTAATGATTCAGGGATCCTTCTAGTATAAGAAAGATGATTTTAGGTTTTATACAGAATATTAGATTAAGAAAATGCTTCAAGTGTTAATCATTGATTTTTCTTAGGTAGTGGCTTCAATGTCAAATCATTAACTGTTGTTGATTAGCATATCTTGAGAAACTGATTTGCATACTGGGGTGAACTTTTCTTTGAGGCAATTTTAAATGAAAGTATTTCTATACAGATACAGGTCAAATATAAGAGAGAGTCAAGGCGATTATTCTGAGAACCAGAGCAGGAAACTTTGCCAGCCAGGAACTGAGTAAAAGTGTTCAGTCTGTGCTGTTCCCAAGTATGCAAACTTAACTAGTTTCATATCGACTGAATTAATTGACTATACATTTCACTTACTTATATCCTTTAAGGAATGGCCCAATATTCCCAGTCAGGAATTCTGGCCACCGTGTAGGCTACTCCTATACAGTCAGTTGCATCAGCAAGGCTATCAGTTATGCGTTGAACATTAAACAACAGCCAGAAAAACTGAAATCATATAACATAGCCTGGATCAATGTTTGGAAAGAAACAACATAAATCTTGAACAGGTTGTTAAAAATTGTGCTCCTGCAGTTTTCTGTATGGATCTACGGTAAACAAAATAGATACATGAACTCAAGCAAATTCCCTTTAATGACATGGCACCTATTTAAAAATTATTGATTTCTAGGAGTCAAAACAACCAAAAATCTAAGATTAGGTTTTCTAACATTTGCAAGAGGTGGATGTTAGGAAATCTTAAATAGGTTTCACAGCACTTAAACTTTGTTAATTTTATTATAGTAACAGGTGTGAAATTGTAAACTGAGAATCACAACCTCACTGTGACTCAAGCAGATCAAGATCTTAAGCATGATTGAGAAGAGAATCTAAATCAAATATATCTTTTTGTAATAAATGCAAGGTAATATAATAAATAGCAGAAGTATATTTAGATGTAGGTACACCACTATCAATATGGGCTTTGCTGATAGCACCTTTATCCATACAAAAGTTATCTTTGTATTTAACTTTTATACTCCTTCTGTTAAAAAAAGGAAATTTTCATGTGAAACCCAAAAAAGGAAAAAAAAATGCTTCAGACATTATTTTGATCCTTAACAAAACCTCAAATATGAATGTTTTTAAGTATGAGCTTAATATGTACAATTGACATTACAAATTAGTGTTTTTAAATAGTTTTCATCTATTCCCAGTTGTTGTACTTCAGTTATTTTATGTGTTTATGTTAGCAATTAATATAAAAATCACACATCAAATCTATGTAATGAATAGATAGCTTAAGGAGTATTGCCACCTTTCATACTTATATAGAAACCAAAATGTATCCCTTACCCGAAAAATCCCAAATCATCAAATTATAAAAGACACCCTGTTAATGTTTGCAACTGCATTTACATGAACTGGAACAAACAATTTGGTTAAATTTGGTAAACCCAAATCCAGTTGATGAGGATATTTTCAGGTAGCAGAAATCAGTGTGAAGGCATGAAGGAATGCCTAGAGAAGGTGAGGTAGAAAAGGGATGGGGTTTGGAAGGATGGTATCTTAGCACAAGAGAGAGTAGATGAAATGAAAGTGGGAAAGGACACATAGGCCACATTTTTCAGTTTTCCTAAGGCCTTTGATAAATGGCAACTATTCTCCTTTTCACTGAAAATGACTCTCTAGACAGCCTTTATTAGAAGTGATATAAAGTACTGGTACCCCTTCCTACCTCTTTTCCTTTTATTGTAAAGATATAGTTATTTTTACATGTAGAATATTTTATAATTCCTTCATAAATATTATGATTTTAAAGCTAAGAGGAAATTAGGAAATCATTTAGTCTAACTAACCTCTTATTTTATTGATAGGGGAACTGAGATCCAGAGAAGTTGTGATTTATTAAACTAAACTCCCTTTAGTTTCTAATCTACATAATATACTGGTGACTAAAACGTTTAGAAATACTATATTTAATATTATTAAAAGCACGAGACAAATATACACAGAGGAAATGTTTCAAAATCACAAAGAAAAAATTACAAAATGGAATGTTCCACTCAGAACAGTTAGTCACCTGTTCTGATGTTAGTAACAAATAGTAAATTAAAAATAAAAGGTTTTAAAAAATGCATTAGGGAAAAGGCACTGGATGATGAAAGTATGAACACATGTAATTACTACAAATACACAAAGTATATACAAAGTACTTACCAAGTACATATAATATCCTGGAGAAAATCCATAAAATGAGAAATATAAAGCCTCTCATATTATTATTTTCTCCCAAATTTATATCTACCTCTATTTCATTACAAGAACAAACTATGTGGTAAGGTAATAGAAAGGGGCACATCACTTAATTCAATCCCCAGCACCCTTTTATATGAAACATATAAAATCTACCCCATTGCTGCTTTAGCTGTAGCTCTAAATGACCATTCTCTCTCATATGCTTGGTTAAGATGAAAATGGGAAGTTCAGGTTACAAAGTTGGACAATAACAAATTCCATACAACTTTCTACGACTATTTCTATGACATAACTTCAACACATTAAAATATAGTGTGTCAATATAAATATGATTATTAAATTTTAAAAACCTGAAAACTCAAATATGCAAGTGTGTTTCTAAAATATTATTTGCTCATAGCTATATTTAGAGCCAATGCAAATATTTTTCATCTGAATCACCTATATCATTGCTTCCCAAAGTGTCTTTCTGGTGGAATGCAACATAACTTTATGTATGGCATATAGGTAAACATTTTTAATTTTAATATTTCAGTATTAATTTCAATATGTACTAGAAAAATATTACACATGGTTTTCTATTTTAAAAGTGAGTCAATTTTTAAATATATTAAGTAAATAGTACAGGTGGCATGTGAATATGGCAAAACTTAAATGTCTAAGGTTCAGGACATGCTACCTTACATAACGTAACTTCTCTGGAGATCAGCTAGCATAAATATTACTGTTAGAAGATATGGAAATTTCAGACTAAATTATATTTTATTCTCTACATTACTACTTGGCTTTTATCTCATAAAGTAAGCATAATATTAAAGTAAGTTCTTTCAGTAGAAATGTATTTTACTGAATATAAAGGAAAAATGCTTATTAAAATCAGCAGCTTAACTTCCCATTAAAAAATAAAAACTTTCCAATTCACTTAGTTAGAGGGCATATATATCAGTAACATTCTGTATGATACTACATATGCTACATTCTACAAAATGAAGCAACTAAAGCTGCTGCTTAACACATTCTTGCCTCACTCTAATCTGTGTTGTCCTTTTTCCTCTCCAGAGGAAAATGTTAAATAGAGGGTACCTAGAAGCTAAATTAAACAAATAAAAACTTAAATACTTACTGTCGCTGGAGAGGCCCGAGTTGTGTGTGTCACTGAGTGACCAGAATTCTCCATTGAATTGCCAATCAGATAGGTTCCTCCAGAGCTGCTGATGAGTTGTCCTCCTGTGACGCCCATCTGAATCCCACCAGTACCCACCATGCTGTGGGATGAGACCACAGTAGTCACCTGTGCGGAACTCCCTTGAGTATCAAAGTAATTCCCTCCAGTGTTTTGGCTGTACATCTGCGTTTCGGTGTAAGGATAAGTTGTTGTCCGGCTTTAGAAAAAGAAGAAAGAAGAAATTTACTAGTTTATTTGTATCATCTTATTAAATTTTTTCTAGAGTGAATATATTTAAAATATATTGGTTAGCTTAGCCTTTGGAATATGGTGAGTTTGGCATTCTGTATGAAGCATCATTCCCAGAAATAATAGTTCAATTTATTTTCCAAATTAAAGGTACATTTCTTTAATAAGTACCTCCATTAGTTTCTGTACTTAGGAGGTTTTGCCCTCTCCTGGTGCCTACCTTCAGCATCTAAATAAGCTTAGGTCCTTTCCCTCCAGTATATCTTGCTGACCAAGATGTTCTTCAACCGCATATAAAACTTCCTACAAATCCCAGTTTTAAAAAAGCTGGGATCTGGAATAACTAGGAGCCAACAAGTCAATTACTCACGCTACTTCACATTCCTAGGTGATTCACAATAAATCTCCATGACTAAGGTAGCTTGCATGGATCTCTTACCACCATAAGGATCTTGAGCAAACAGTTTATTCACCTTGGACCCTAAATCCCTACTTACTATCTCTCTCCTCCTTCACACTCAAGCTTCTCCTTTATCAGATGACAATGCCGCCTCTCCACATCCTCACTTTCTACTTCCCAACAACTGCAGTCAAGTTTCTGCCCTTAGCCTTTTATTGAAACTACTTTGAATAGGTCACTTGTGACCAAATCTAAATACCAAGTTAAAAGGCTCCTGTCATTCCTTATCTTTTTTGACCTATCTGTAGTATGACATTGTTGATCACTCCATGTTGCCCTTTCCCTCCTTTTTCTGTTCTGATTAAGCTCATTTATTTTTCATTTTCACTTGATTTTTTTAACTTTTTATTTTGAAATACTTTATAAACTCACAAGAAGTTAGAAAAATATACAGAGAGATAGAATATACTTTTTTTTTTTAAATCAAATATCAAATTTAAATTTCCAGTTCTTTTGCTATTCTTTTCAACTCTGCCTCCCAAAGCTAGTCACTCCTGACAGCTTGGTATGTATGTTTTCAGACATTTCCTGTACATATATTAAGGTATCTGTCTTAACCTCTCTTGTCCTTTATTTTAGTCTACGGCATGTATTTTCCCCTATTTGCTTTTTCACCATAACATCTCAACAACCTTTTGAAGTCTCCATTTTTCTGGCACTTTATATATTGGTATTATTCTGAGGTTTCCATTTTTAGCTCTTATTTTATTTAGACCACAGACCTCTGCACCACATACAGTACTATATGACCATATACATGCTCTTAGTAAACAATCTTATATAGGCTGATATCACTGCTCTCCTTACCTTCTAGTTATACTTTTAAGAATATTAAATGTGGGCTTCTAACAGCCAACTAGTTATCTCTGCTAGGAACCCCCATGATATATGGGAACCTCTAAATGTAAAAGTTAACATATGCTGAGATTCTTTCTCCCTCTTGTTCTTTCTTCGATTAATATACTCCCCATCTCAGTCGAGGGCAGCACCACCATCCTCAGGTTTGGAAATCATTGCTGACTCTTCCCTCACTTAGACTGACACAAATCATTGAATCCTTTCAATTCTATCTTCTAAGTAATTTTCCAGTTCTTTCCATTCTCATATACTCTGCCTTAACTCATGGTGTTCTCTATTATACGAGTATCCCTTATCCAAACTGCCTGGGACTAGAAATGTTTCACAGTTCTGATTTTTTTGGATTTTGGAATATTTGCATATACATGATGAAATATCTTAGGGATGAGACCCAATTCTAAACATGAAATTCATTTATGTTTCATATACACCTTATGTATATAGCCAGAAGGTAATTTTATACAATATTTTTAATAATTTTGTACAGTGAGCAAAGCTGGTATACAATGAACCATCAGAAAGCAAAGGTGTCACTACCTCATGTTGGTGCTCAAAAAGTTTCAAATTTTGGGGCATTTTGGATTTGGATTTTCAGATTAGGGATACCTCAACCTGTCATTGCCTTCTAATTGATTTTCATTCCTCTCCCATGAAATTATGTTTTACTCATCTCAGTGCTCTCAACACAACACAGTTGCTGGTACACAGTAGGCACACTATATAGTCAGCAAATAAAAATATCTAAAAATATATTGGACATAATAGCAGATTATGGATTTCTATATCACAAATACTTGTTTTGTTAAAAAATAAGAAACTATGTCAAACCATTCTAAGATTTTTCTGTTTAATTTAAAACAGGTAGTTTTAACCCATTATAAATTATAATGTAATTTATAATATAACTTTTAGTAACATAATGATAGTGTTCTGAAAGTATTCCATACTGAGTAAAAAGCCCTTTCCATAAAGAGCCACAGCAGATCCAGGTATAAATTTTAGTTTGGGGTAACAATAGAAACAACTCCATATGGAACATGTTTTTACAGATAGAAAAATGTCATTTAAAATACATGTACGATTCTTCTCATCATTGCTTTATTTCCCAACTGGAAATCTCATTTATTTACCTATTTTTTGCTTACATATTTAATAAAATAAAACAGGCATGTTGTTGTCAAACTTAGGGAAAAAGAGAAATGAGGTCATTCTAATTTACGTCCACCGGATATGACAGTGGGCCCATTGAACTGTGCTCACAATAGTGCAATCTGATGTTGGTATTTAAGGATAATCAAATAAGTTATACAAATAGATATAGGACAATAAATGCCTTGACAGATGCAGGACATGCTGCCCACTTTCCTTTTCACAGCCCAAGTAGGATGATTAAGTATGCCCCCTACTAGTAAGTAGATTTCACATATAAAACATATAAATACAGCTAATGATAGCTAATATTTACTGACCATTTACTATGCAACAGGCTCTATTGCATGTGCTTTTCAGGTACTAACTCATTTAATCTTCATCATAACTTCATGAGAAAGGTACTGTTATAATTCCTATTTCACATTCAAGGTGAATAACTAAAGTTTAAAAAGGTCAAGTTTGTGTAATGCACACAGCTGGTGAATCATAGATTTGGAATCTGAACTCAGCCTATGCTCTCAACCATCATTATCACATAAAAAGAACTTAACCGTTTATGTATGTCCATGATATATATCAACCAACAAGTACTAGGAAATAGCTCTAACAGGCATAGGGACCATATGAACTTCCTGATGCTATTTGGGATTTCCTTACACCTTAGCTCACTGTTTGCTAGCACTACAACATTCTCCATTCTTACCCAGAATGGGATCTTCAGATGATGTAATTGTAAAGAAGGAGTGATGGGAAAATGCAGGACCATTTTAGATATTTACCACCACATTCTTAAATTTTATAAATTCTGTGATCATGGAAGTTGCTACTGCGTCATAAGAAAAACATCCCAATAGATTTAAATCACCCCATCTTTTGGGTATTCCCCCTTGATATAATTATTCTCAGTGAACAAGAGTAATGCAAACAAATACATCACAGATATATAAAATCTATACATAGCCCTCAAATCAGTATGAAAATATGGTAGCAAAAAACAAGCTACTTTAATTTTCATACTTCCTTCTAGCTGGAGATAATTCATGAGCTAGAAAATTATCAAAGAGCAGAAAAAGAGAGAAAGCCACTAAAGAAGTATGCCCAATTCCATAACTTTTTCCCATTATTCAATTATGTCCCACGAAACTGTGGAGAAGGCGTGGCTACTGCATAACACACACTGGAGTAAAGACTGGTAATTTCTAGGGGATGAAAAAGACACAGTTATATAAGGAAATGAAGTGTCATCAATTGTCTGAATTGGGTTTTAAGAAAAATACACTTGACAGTAGGAAATGAAGAAATCTTTTACACATTGGGTTGAGTAATAGAGGTAGATTATAATATCCTTAGTCATTGTTCTTTAAAGCTAAGAAGGCAAGCATTAACCCATTTTTTGTTTTTTTTTTATTTTTTTTATTTTAGCGTATTATGGGGGTATAAGTGTTAAGGTTATATATATTAACCATGTCCCCCTCCCCCTTCGAGTCGGAGCTTCAACCATGTCCATCCCCCAAATGTTGCATATCTTACTCGTTGTGGTTGTATATATCCATCTCCTCCTTCCCCCTCCCACCCTCCTGACACCCTATAAATGTTACTCCTATATGTCCACTTAGGTGTTGATCCGTTAATACCAATTTGCTGGTGAGTACATGTGGTGCTTGTTTTTCCATTCTTGAGATACTTCACTTAGTAGAATGTTAACCCATTTTTTGGAGTCAAGGGTCAATCATAGGTAACTCCTAAAGGTCTTTTCCATGTCTGAATAAGCTCCTGACAGAATACTGAAGAATTTATTTTTAAAAGAAGCACCAGGGGAAATGGGCATTTATTGAAACCTTAAAATCTGTACCCCCATAATATGCCGAAATAAAAAAAAAAAAAGAAGCACCAATAGCAAAGACAAATAGTTATTTTTTAGGTACTAGAAATATACTCTCTAATTCTGATATCTCAGATCAGCTTGTCTTTTATATTGTATAGTAAGTACATTCTTCATATGAGTTATTGCTTGCACACTGTTTTCCCCAGAAATTTCTAAAACATATGCTCAAGAAAATTATTCAATTTTTGGCATATCAGATTGAAAGCGGCTAACTATTTCTGGACTGTACATTCCTGAAATAGCTAAATTCCCAAGCAATTCTGTGCACATTTAAAAGATACTGCTATGTTCATTTTGTTTGTTCTATTTTGATTACCATAGACTAAGTCACAAAAATAATGTGTCATATTATTTTGTCATTTCTATAGCACAAATCTTTCCATTGTTCTGCATATGTATCCAGTAATGAATGTGAACACATAGATATATGTCTACTTGCTGACAGAAGCTTCTTCATAGCTGACTCTATTATAAGTTTCTATGTAAATGTCAGGAATCTGATCCATTGAATTCAGTAAATGAGTGCTGTTTGTACCCCATCATGCCTTAGCATATACCTTGGCAAAGTATGGCCCTGAATATTCCCTATTTACTTATTCACTAAGATGATTAT